CAAAACCTACATCAAACTGCAGAGGAAAAAATAGTTTGGAGTGCCTAGAAATACAAAGCACAGGGCTTGGAGAGGAACCCCAGGATCTAAAAGACACTGGGCTGTGTCTCCAAGCCCAGTTGTCCACATTTTTTATTTTGTTTTGTTTTTTGAGACAGGCTCTTGCTATGTCATTCAGACTGACCTTGAACTCATGGTGATCCTCCTGCCTCAGCCTCCCCAGTGCTGGGATCACCGATCTGTGCCACCAAGCCTGGCACCAACCATCCACATTTAGAAGTGACAACATTCATTAACTAAGTTCCACCAAGCCGAGGTGGCATAAGACAGCGCCCGGCTTGGCAACAAAGGCCACACTCAGGGACCCCACCCACCCATTCCTATACCCTCCTAAGAGCGTCCATCAGCACGCTCCTCCCCCGATGGGAAAGTCTAACAAACTCGACCCCATCTGCCTTTATTTAAAAACCTTACAAAAGATGTATTTAAATGTTTGAAAAATTAACTTTATGTTCTATGCACAGATAAATTTCTCCGACTGTACAGCCCATAGGGTTCTATTCGTTAAAAAATATTCTGCCCAGGGCCGCCCCCTGGCGGTGCGGGGCGGCACTGCACCACCATCGCGGTGTCCCTTGGGTGCTGCGGTTCCCGCGCGGCTGGAAACACCCTCACCAGGCGCCCGGCTCGCTGGCTGCCGTTTATTAAGATCGCTTGGGGTTTGGCGGTGCCGGCTTCTTCCTTCTCTTCTGCTTTCTGGGCGCGCGTGTGGGTGCGGGTGGGTCCAGCCGGCTGGCTGACCTTCATTTGTCCTTGGGCCGGTCCAAGCTCTCCAGCACCCTGTTGAGGCGGATGTTGAGCAGCCGGACCTGGTTCTCCAGGTGCTCCAGCTTCTCCTCCACGCTGGGGCTGCCCGGCGCGCCGGGGCTGCTGCTGCGCCAGTAAAAGCCCATGGGCCCCGTCATGAAGTAGACGGCGACCACCAGGCACAGGGGCAGCACGGCGCTCTCAGGCTCGCCCTCGTACTTGTGCAGGATGTACATGCACGACATGGAGAACAGCACCACGCGCACAATCCAGAAGAAGCGGCCGAACATCAGGTGCAGGGCGCTGAAGGTGAAGCCCAAGGTCAGGGACAGGAACCAGTAGGCCAGGAGGACGACGCCGACCAGCAGCAGCGCCCGGGCCGGGCTGCTGGACACCGAGGCGGGGCTCAGGTACTGCAATAGGTTGGACACTGCGGGACAGAGCAGAGGACAGGCCATCAGGTCAGAGCATGCCAAGTCCTGGGCGCCCCCACGAGAACCCCTGCTGGGTCGCAAGTGCCAATCAGCCTGTGTCCTCTGCAGGCCCAGCCTGCAAACTGTCCTCCAGTTTCCATAATCAGACACTCAATGTGGGCCTTGTGCACAGCCATCTCCGTGAAAGGAATTTCCCAGACTCCCTTGCAGCTAAACATCTAGGTTAAAGGAACCTCCCAGACTCCCTTGCAGCTATATAGCTCACTTTAGGCCAAAAAGAGGTGACCAGAAGTGTTTTGCAGTAGCTTTGCGGAGTCTTCTGTAAAAGTAGTAGGAACGGGCCGTTTACCTCCTCCTGTGTACCTCCTGGACTGTGGACGCAATGGCTAGAGCTCGAGCTCTAGAGCTTGTGCTGTGAAGGAAGGGACATTATTTATCAGGGAGGGGGGATGTCTCTGTCTTGGGGGCAGTGGGCAGCAGAGCTGTCATCATGCCTGACCAGCTCTCTGTGAACTGTCAGCACGAGGAAATAAGCTTCCACCTGGGCTAGGCCACCCTTACCTCGGATCTCAGTCACACCTGGATTCCATATCGCGCAGGTGTCTGTGTGCCAAGCCCAACGACATTTCAAAAAGCTGAGAGTCAAGGGGATGCTCCTGAAAGCACCCACATCACACTATTATTAAAATTCGCCACATTTGCCTGTATTTCTCTACACACTCTTTTGCTTTATTTCTGAAATGCACGTATGGTTATTCTATCGCCATTCTCTTTGAGGAGGGGACCTTGTTCTCCAGAAGCCAGGCTGCTGTCCCAATTCCAGGACGTCACCTGTAATTCCCAGTTATCCAGGAGTAAACTCAGAGCTGACCTGTCCCTACCAGGACCCAGAGACGGCTCAGAGCTTTGGGTGGCTTTTATCTCTGTTCATCAGGAAACACCCACGATGCCAGCATCCTGGAGTCCAGTTTCTCTACCCTTGTTTCCTTGTAGAATGACCTGCATTCTGCCCTTTTTTCTTATTCAAGATCCTCCTGCCTCTGCCTCCTGAGGACTAGGATTACAGGGGCACCTCACCACACCCAGCTTCCGGGCTGACTCTCTCTGGACTATTCCCAGGGAGTCATCTCAGGCACCTGGGATGGGTGGACAACAGGTCACCACAGGTCCACCAGGACATGCAGGGGCTGCGGGAATGGCTGCTGCAGTGGACTCAAGACCTGCCCCACCGTGAGAGCCACCCGCTGCTGCCTCGTCAGCCCCGCGTGGACAGACAGGGACCAGTCCTGGAGCCACCAGACTGTCGCCTCATGCGAGGCACCACACATCGCACCCAGCTCCGAGTGGAGCACTGGACAGAAACGGACAGCAATCTCCGAGAGCCAGGGTGACCCCAGCATTTGGGAGGCTGAGGCAGGAGGATCACAAGTTCAAACCCAGCCTGGACACTCGGCAACTTAGCAAGGCCCTGTCTCAAAATTAAAAATATAAAAAGGGCTGTGGATGTAGCTCAGGGTCAAGGCCCTGGGTTCAATCCCCAGTACATAAAGAAAAGGAATGAGAGAGAGGAAGCGAGGGAGGCAAGAAGCCAAAGCAAACAGCAGTGTGACCAGTGATACTGTTTTACTTTGTTGCAAATCTCTCTCCTATCCAGCTTGTCAGAAGAGGGTCTCTAATCTGTTTCCTTGTTGTTTTGGTTTGGTTTTGGTGTTTGCTGAGAGAAGGTCTTGCCAGTCCAGGCTAGACTCAAATGTGTGATCCTCCTGCCTCATCCTCCTTAGTGTTGCTACTTCAGGCTCTTGCTGCCACACCCCGCTTCAAATCCGCCGATTCACAGAAACGAAATGCCAGCCACCCATGCGAGCCACAGGTGTCACTAGAAGGTCCCAGCGCCCACACTGACAAGGCGGAAGGCAAAGGTGGGATTAATGTTCATGCGAGACTTAAGCCGGTGTGAGCACAGCCTCATCTCCACATGGCATCAATTAAAAGAACGATGAGCTGGGTGTGGCGGTGCACGCCCACAGCCCCGGCACTCGGGAGGCTGAGGCAGGAGGATCCCAAGTTCACCCCTGGCCCGGGCAACTCCATGTGAGGCTGTCTCACACCAGAGGCAACAGGGGCTGAAAGGCGAAGCCGCCCTCCCCATGGCCACCCTGGGAGACCCCGCAGAAGCCCCCACGCCCCCAGGCAGGCGGCGAGCAGCCACTCCTTTCTGAGGCCCTTGCCGCCCGGCACTCGGGAGCCCCGCAAGCGGGCAGGCACGGCCTTGGCTCCCTCAGCTCCCCACAACCCAGGGCCACCACGGGTGAGACACAGCTGTGTCCTCATGGGCTGTGGGGTTGGCGGTGACTGTGATCACAGGGTGGCAACCCAAGCTGGCCCTGGTGTCCCTGGCAGAAGAGCACCACCCTCGGCCTGTGCTGTCCCTGGCTGCTCTCGCCCGGAAGGTCCCTGTCACCTTCCCCTGCCTATAGAAGCTGTGGTGCATGCCTGTAATCTCACTCGGGAGGCTGAGGCAGGAAGACTGACACGAGTTCAAGGCCAGCCCGGGCTATATAGGGAGTTTGACGCTAGCCTGGAAGACACAAGGAGACTCTGTCTCAAAAAACACACAAAAAAGATAAACGTCTGCCATGTGGCGTTATCCCAAGTAGCGGCACGGGGCTCTGCTCCCTGCATGTGACTGCTGCGAGCCTGGGTGAGCTCACGTCCTTTCTCTCCCAGGCCGCAGGGGTCTCCCTCGGAATCCCCACCCTGAAAATGCCGCAGGAGGTCACAGGTTGCGCTCTGCAGGCTCTGTGGCCATCACCCCAGGCCACTCACACCCCGGCACCGGCCGGCACCTCAGGCTTGCTGGTCAGCAGGAGACGCTGGCTGGGCCTCGCTGGGCCGGGGGCTGGGGCTGCCGGGCTACACCCAGCTGGCAAATCCGGGCTGGGTGCCGACTCAGCCTCGTCTCCAAGGGCCGGTGGTCCCGAACGACAGTGATGCTGTGAGCACACAAGCACACCCCTGTGCTCACCGCGAGCCTGCTCTCTCCTCTCAAAGAGGGGGTATCAGCTTCGGGGGACCCCTGGCTCTGCCAGTCCTGGTCTGCTTTAAACCACCTCGCCTGCCGGGCATGATGGTGCACACCTATAGTCCCAGCACTCGGGAGGCTGAGGCAAGAGGATCCCAGGAGTGCCAGGCCAGCCCGGGCTACTAGACAGGTAGAGACCCTGTCTCAAAACAAACCAAATACATACATAAATAAATAGATAAACCACCCCACCTGGTGGCTTCCCACAGGCACACCCCTCTCCAGTCCCAGAGGCCCAGGTCTAAAGTCGGGGTTGCAACAGCTGTAGGGACCTTCGACCATCCCACTTCGGTGGCCCCAGGGGTCCATGGCTTGCAGGTGGTGCACCCCAGTCCCCGCCTCTGTCTTCACAAGACCCACTCCCACAGAGTGTCTCTGTGTCCCCATGCTCAAATGCCCACTTTTTTCTCATTTCTGTTTTGATACTAGGTCTTGCTAGGTAGCCCAAGCCAGCCTCGAACTCATGTCGATCTTCCTGCCTCAGCCTCCAGAGGGCTGGGAACATGGGTATACCACCACACCATACTCAATTTGGGGGGAGGTGTTTTATTTTTTAAAAATGTATGTATTTTTAATTTAATTTTATTTTTTATTTTAATGTAATACAAGTAGATATTAATAAAGAAAATAAAAAGCACTCTTCTTAGTTCTATTGAAAAATAAAACAAAATTCCATAACAGAATAATTAGAGCGGGCTGGGGATGTAGCTTCGTGGTATAAGCGCCTGCCTGGCAAGTGCAAGTTCCTGAGTTTGATTCCCAGTACCACACACACACACACACACACACACACACACACACAAAATAATAATAATAATAATTAGAGAATAGCAAGAGTTAATTCACTGTGTATCATGGTCACAGTGAATGGCCAAAATGTTACTCAGAGTACAAGTCAGACAATAGAGTGTCTCTTACAAAGAAGAAACAAACAAATAAAAGGACCAGATTTTCTTTTTAATGATAGAGAGAAACTAGTAGTATAAACAAAACAAATAAGCACATCTTTCTCTTTTGAGACAGGGCCTCACTATGTAGTCCACACTGGCTTGGGACTTGTGATCCTCCTGCTTCAGCCTCCTAACTGCTGGGACTATAGGAACTTATGCCATGCCCAGTTTGAAATTGCAGCTTTGGTGAGCCACTTTTTTTTTTTTGTACCAGGAATCAAATTCAGGGCCACTGAGCTATATCCCTGGCCCTGGCGAGCCACTTATTAAAATAAAAAAGTTCGGGGCTGGGGATTTAGCTCAGTGGCAAAGTGCCTGCCTGGCAAGTGCAAGGTTGTGAGTTCGGTTCCCGGTACCGGAGAAAAACCAAAAAAATAAATAAATAAATAAAATAAAATAAAATAAAATAAAATAAAAAAGTTCGACATGGTGCTGTGCACCTGTCACCCCAGCACTCTGGGAGGCTGAGGCAGGAGGATCAGGAGTATGAGCCTAGTCTGGGGAACTTAGCAACTTGCTGAGAGTCTGTTTCAAAGATTGAAAAATGTTTAAAGCAGGCTGGGGAAGCAGCTCTTTATGGACGTCCGGGGTTCAATGCCCAGCACCAAAATAAACAGAAAAACTCATCAATTCCCCAGGCCCAACCCGACCCTTGCCACGTCCCGAGGGGCCTGGGAGAAGCCCTCACACCCGGTCTGGCACCTACCGTCAAGGCCAAGGACGTCCAGGAGCTCTGTCCACACCTTCCACACGGCCTCCAGGAACAGATCGACGCCCAGCACGAATCTCTCTGTCAGCCTGGACAGGAACTGCAGGGGTGAGAAGATGGTCACTGCAGGGCCCCCAGCCACCCACTCCACAGGAAGGAAAAGCAGCAGTTGTCTGGGGGTGCCACAGGAGGGGTCCAGCAGCCCAGGAGAGGAAGGTGAGCTTGGCCACAGATTTTGCTAAGCCCTGCAGACTGGCAGCACCTAGCCCCTTGGCCCCTTCCACGGGCCGGGCAGCATCTCTGGGGAGGTACAACCTGCAAAGTGGCTGCACAGAGCTTGCCATTTCCCAAACCATCCCGGTTGCTCCTGCTCAGGGTCTCTGCTTTCCTCTGCCCAGCTTCTTGTTTTTAAAGAATGAGAGTTTCTGCCCCTGAAGGTTGGCTTTGGCGCTCTCTCTCTCTCTCTCTCTCTCTCTCTCTCTCTCTCTCTCGCTGAGGGAGAGAGCTGAAGTCTGAAACAGGGGTTCTCCCAACTCCACAGAGGCCATCTCCAGAGACAGGTAATGACATAGCCTGTGCCTCACCCCAGGCCCCCCAGGGCCCTACTACTTCACTCCAAGTATGCTAGACAAGCACTGGGCAGGAGAAATAGGCACACAAGGTACAGCCTCAGTTTGCCTTGTTTTCCTTAATGTGTGGTATTTTCTCTTTTTTTTTGTCTTTTTGAGACAGGATCTCGCTATGCAGTTCAGGCTGGCCTTGAGCTCACTTATAGCCCAGGCTGGTCTCAAACTCACAATGATCCTCCTGCCTCAGCCTCCGAAGTGCTGGGATTACAGGAGTGCACCACCACGCCCGGCTTTCTCTATTATTATTATTCTTTTGCTTTTTTGAGAAAGGGTTTCCCTATGTAGTTTAGGCTGGCCTTGGACTCATGGTGATCCTCCTGCCTCAGCCTCCGGAGTACTAAGATACAGGCATGCACCACCGTGCCCAGCTGGAACAAATGTTCTGATTTTCCTTTCTCCTCCTGGTGCTACAGACTGGACGGGGCTTTGCCAGCCGGGCAAGCACACTGCCCTGGAGTTCCATCCCCAGCCCTTTTATTTTTTGTTTTGAGCCAGGAGCTTGCCACATTGCCCAGGCAAGACTTGACCTTGGGATCCTCCCGCCTCAGCCTCCCCGAGTATGAGGATGACAGGTGTGCGTCACCATGTCCGGCGTGTAACGAACGCTTGAACATCCGTGGGCCTTGTACACGCTTGCATGAACGGGCAGTGAGGCTGCCTGCCTGAGGGGGCAGAGGCAGCTTCGGCAGGGCCATGCTGATGCAGCCACTCTAGCTGCTGGGCCTCAGCCTTCCCAGCGGGAAAACCGGGCCAAGACCGAACTCAATGCCGGGACCAAAAAAGGGCGCAGCTGCGGAGGGAAAGATGAACGGAGGTGCCACACGGAAGGGGCAGGGCATGGGCGGGCGGGTCCCGGGCCGCGATGCTAGGGAGCTGGGGAGTCCCGGGGCGAGGTAAGTTCAGCTAAGCCAGGCAGACTCCCAGGGACCGTGAGGGCCAGGGTGGCACAGGGCGTGGGCTCCACCAGCCAGTGCCAAGCGCCGGGGCTCAGCGTCAGTGACAGCCAAACAAGCGCCCACCAGCTCTGTGCCTGCCGGGCCAGACACTACCAGACCCTCTGGAGCCCTGTCCTGGACTCCAGATTGACCGGAGTGTGCAGACAGTACGGCTTCAGGTCTCAAGAGGCGGCTTGTCTGTCCCCATCAATGTGGGGATGTGACTGCCCCATCCCCCAGGAGGGCGAGAATCAAAGATGCAGACAGAGCCCAGGCATGGTGGTGTGCAGGAGGCTGAGGCAGGAAGATCACTGTGAGTTCGAGACCAGCCGGGGCTACATAGTGAGTTCGAGGCCAGCCTGAACTACATAGCAAGCCTGCTTTGAAAAAAGCACTATGCACAAGCCTCAAAACATCACAGCAAGTGACAGAGCCAGGCACTGAGGAGCACGTTACACAATCCCAAGCCCGTGAAATGTGACTACAGGAAATCCAGACCAGCAGCAGATAGGGAGCTGCCTGCGGCTTCTTCATGGGCTGTTGAAAATGTCCTAAAGTTGACAGGTGGATCAAGCTGGGACTCCGAAAAACCACCGAATTTGCAATGAATGAGTTGTGTGGCCCCTGAACTGTTATAGTTCAAGAAAGCTGCTACCCAACCCTCAGGACAAACACCAGGTGTGTGCTCTTCAAAATGCCCACATCCCAAAGGAGGGTTCTGTCAGACTAAAGAGACACAAAAACCAAATGTGATCCCAGCTCCTCAGGAGGCTGAAGCAGGAGGATTGCAAGTTCCAGGCCAGCCTGGGCAACTTAGTGCCACCCTGTCTCAAAATATGGAAAAGGCTGGGGCTGCAGCCAGGCACAGTAGCACAGGCTTGTAATCCCAGCAGTCTGGGAGGCTGTGGCAGGAAGATCGCAAATTCAAGCCTAGCCTGGGCAATTTACCAAGACCCTGTCTCAAAATTAAAAAATGAAAAGGCCTAGGAAGGCAGCTCAGTGTGAAGGCCAGTGCTGGTTCAGTCCCCCATACTATGAAAAAAGAAAAACTGAAAGCCAAAACCGCCTTAGTCAGGTTTTAGATTTTTTTCAAAGTAGCCAGAGAAATTCAATATGGACTACATATCAGGAATTATTATTGCCAGGATTGCTGGCACACGCCTGTAATCACAGCAGGACGCTGAGTACAAGCATCGCTGTGAGTTTGAGGCAAGCTTGGACTACACAGCAAAACAAGAAAAAACCAAATTATTATTATATGATATTTAAGCTTCTTGTGGGGACAGTAGTATACCACGGCTCTGCAGAAGTATTAAGAGCCGACTTTCTTTTTTTGTTTTTTGAGACAGGGTCTCGCCATGCAGTTCAGGCTGGCCTGGACTCACTATGTAGCCCTGGCTGGCCTTGAACTCATGGCAATCCTCCTGCCTCTGCCTCAAGAGTGCTGAGATTACAGGAGTGCAGGAGCGTGTGCATACACACCCCGCCGCAGCTGACTTTCAAATAGTTCAGGAGTTTTTTTTAAAGCGTTTGTGGCATGTTCAGGGAATTGCCGAGTCTAGGTAGCAGGTCTGCAGCTGTTCTTGCGCTACTCTTTCAACTTCAAGGTGTTTTAAAAGTTTGCAATAAAACAAAAATGAGGAAAGGCCCTTCCTTGCCTGCACGACCTTTGCCCTGGGGTGCAGGGCACCCAGGAGTCACCGGTGAGCTTAGGTACCGGGTCGGGAGGAGAGAAAACAACTGCACTATCTTGCTCAAAACACTTCCGGCAAGCAGCATGAAATGCAAGCTTTTTGCAAAACAAATGACGAAGGACACAAAAGGGGGACAGCCTGGAAAGCAAGCCGTCTGCAGGCCTGTCTGCAGGCCTGTCTGCGTCCGGGGGCACACGATAACGGAACAGCCTGGCTCCCTGGGGCGGGGACAGTGGTGTCCCAGGCCCCACCAGCACGAGTGGAGCTGGAGCTGAGCTTTGCGTCCACAGAGGTGAAGAAGCTGCCAGCAGTCAGCGGGGGGTGACCCTGAGGTGCCAGGACCATCACTGACATTGCTTGGGCGGCCTAGGGAGACCCGTCTGAAAAAGCAGCGCAGGGATGGGGCTGGGTGGTGCAGCACCGGGCTCCTCTCCTGGTGCCAGATGGAAGTCAACAAGCGGACAATTCGCTGAGGTGTCTGCAGGCATTGCCCGGAGAGCCCCTCACCTCGCCTCACCCGGGGGGGAGGCCCTGAGCGGGTTCAACAAGACGTCGGGGTGTTTTCAGGGCTTGAGATCGCTGTCACAGGTGTCGTCGGGGCTCCACCCAGCCCCGCTGCTTAGCGACCACATTCCGCTCATCTCTCTGCGCTCACAGACATCGGACGTGCTTGCTTTCTGGTGATGGGGACAGTGTCGCTATGGACAGTCCTGTACCAGCTGCTTATTACTTTTTTGCGGGGGGGGGGGGTTCTGAGACACAGTCTCGCTATGTAGTGCAGGCTGGCCTTGAGTTCTCTATGGACCCCGCGCTGTCCTAGAACTCCTGGCGATCCTCCTGGTTCAGCCTCCCAAGTGCTGCGATCACAAGTGTGCACCACCGCGCTGGGCTAATAATTTTTACTTAGTTTTCAGGTGCAAGGCGTTGAACTAGGGCCTCATGCAGACTGAGCACTTGCCCTGTCACTGAGCCACACCCCCAGCCCCTACCAATTTTCCAGCGAAGCAGCAGAACGTCACTCCCACAGATAAACGCCTTTCCCGTGCCAGCGTTTCCTGCCCTCAATTGCACAACCACTGGGTGCCTCATGTTGCACACCCCACTCACCCACTCACGTCTCCACGGTTTCTCCTGCCGCCAGCCAAGGTCACAGCGCAAGAGAGGCAGAGCCAGGATTCAAACCCCCGTCTGTTGGCCAGCAAGGCCAGGGTTGCACACGGGCAGGTTCTGGACATGTGCTGGATTATTACAACGTGAGCGTTCTCCAAACACACTCAAAGTTCACAGGCCACAGGCAGGCCCCAGTCAGCGAGACTGGCACATGGGAACTACAGCCGCTAGCACCCCACTTTCCCTTTCATTAAAACTGTATTTCAGGGGCTGGGGATTTAGCTCAGCGGCAAAGCGCCTGCCTGGCAAGCGCAAGGTCGTGAGTTCGGTTCCCGGTACCGGAGAAAAACCAAAAAAAGACCAAAACAAAAAAAACCTGTATTTCATAAGCACAAGCCAGGCCTGTTGACACACACCTGTGATCCTAGCACTCTGGAGGCTGAGGCAGGAGGATCGCCAAGTGTACTAGGCCAGGCTGGGCTACACAGTGAGATCCTATCTCAGAAAGAACAAACAAACAAACAAAACCCCAAAACACCTGGCAGCTTTTCAGCAAATAGTATCATGATCTCTGCTGAAGGCACAAATCCTGTTGTATCCCTGATGGCCAGAATACAGCAAGCGCACCAATACCAACAGAAGTCAAAAGCCTTGACTGTCCCTTCTGTCCTCAGAGTTGCAGGCAGACCTGAGTCTCAGGCGGAATCCGCAATGGGGGGCGGGGAGCTGGGC